TGTGTGTGTGTGTGTGTGTGTGTGTGTGTGTGTGTGTGTGTGTGTGTGTGTGTGAGTGTGTGTGTGTGGCTGTAAGTGTGTGTGGCTGTAAGTGTGGCTGTAAGTGTGTGTGTGTGGCTGTAAGTGTGTGTGTGGTAAGAAGGAGCACGACTGGGGTGAATCCAGGCAGTTTTTAATAGATCTCTCAAAACATCTTCTATTCAGTTCGGTCAATTTTAAGAATTGTTACAGTTGGAGGCAGATTACAGCTTACTCCTTTTTCGCTCCAATTTTAAAGAATAAAATGTGCTGCGTTGGTTTATCACTGGGCTCAAATCCATGTGGTTTAATTAAAACAAGCTAATCTGATGGACTTAGTGCCATTATCATAAGGAATGTATCGACACCAGCGCATTAGTACCAGCAAGGAGAGTTTATTAGATGTCTTACGGGGACCTCCTTTGCCCGAGCTAGTCTCTAATTAACCTCAAGCTACATCGTAGAGATTTGTAAATGCCTCCTACTTAACACCTCCTTTTTTAAAAGATGTCCTACGTCTGGTCCTCGATCAGAACACACTCGGGTCACATTAAGTATTTTAAGCTCTTGTAAAACGCTGACATTACTGCACACACGCAATCCAGCGTTTTAATAAGACATCAGCAGGATCTGCTTCACACACTCACCTCTGAATCAATCAGTTTTTCAATCTGTATTTCTTTTTTTCAGGGTGAATTTCTCCTGCAGCCCTTTGAAAAGGAAGATCGAGCCTCACAGGATCAAGCTGAGAAAGAGGACGGCTGCGATAAGGTGGAGAAACCTGAGAAAACGCAGAGAAAAATGCTGTCGAGAGGTGAGAAATGCAATTAAACCCCTCGTTAACTGCTCGTTTTATATAGATTTTCTTCAGTTTTTTGTAAATTAGACTTTATTTCAAACGCACATCTTCACCTTTTCTTATTCATACATATTTTAACATATTGATGTCCTTGGTGGAAACCTTGGCGAACAGATTTGCAGTCACAGGAACTGAAAGCTTTCCGTTAACACCTCCGCTTTCTTTACACCGTCAACACCTGGGGCCTCATTTATAAACATTGCTTACTCCCAAACCCCAGAGCTTGAAATGCATGTGCTTTTCCTATCCCCAAAATGTAATCTATATATACAAAAGTTTGCAGGAGCACATCAAAAAAATGAAATCCTAGCTTCAATATGTTGGTGGCATGGTGTCACTGAAGGCAAACTATTGAGATGCTTTGCTTTAATTATACTTATCACACAATGCATGCCACCCAGACAAATTACAGCCTTTCTAATAATTATATATTCTACTGTGTCACGAGGAACAGCCAGCTTTTTTTTATTTCCCCTCCGGCACAGCCAGCGCCCTCCAGTTTGTCAAAAAGCACTTCTCCGTTTTTAAATGATATCTCATTATGGGCCGATAATTGGCGTGATTCAGTTAATTGCGACAAGCTCAAGGTGTTAAGCAATTATCCGGATTCCCACGGGCGAATAAAGGTGTCTGCTTCCCTCTGTGGAGCGACACCACTGATGAGGCAGCGTCCAATTATAGAAACCAGACACCCATCAGGGGGAAACGGCCTCCATTTCCCCCTGACTCCCACCTATGGGTCCCATCCTTTGTTTGTGCATCGGAACATGGATTTTTTTTTTCCTGGTTTCAATTTCATTATCGGACCACTTTTCTCATATCTGAAATGGTTCAGCTGGCAGCGCTCTCTCTCTCTCTGCTGCTGATACATGCTGCCAGGGCTTTTTTGTTCTTCTTTCATCACATTGGTCACACCTATAACAAGCGGCAAATAGCACCCGGCCCAGCAATGTCACCCTCAGTGAAGTTTCTCACACAGATAGTTGAATGACAGGCTGATTAAATTGGAGATTATTATTCAAAATGGGCCGTTGATTAAGTATTCATCATTAATTTGGGGAGTTAACGGGCTGGAACATTTCAAGTTCCCTAATTATTCATGTAAATATGAAATATATTCTGCGTATAAATAGATTCTGAAATGACAGATGTATCAGGGATAGAGTCTTGATTTGTGAACAGGAGAAATGTAAAGGACCTTTTTGACATTAGACAGAGTAGAAAGAAGGCAGGGAAATTATGCAAAGACCCCCTAGACAACAAATGAAACCAGGAAGTTGTAATCTTTCCAATACATTGATCATTGGTTTGTTTTTCCTTGGTTAGATTCCAGTCAAGACTACACAGACTCCACTGGCATAGATCTCCATGAGTTCCTGGTCAACACGCTGAAGGGAAACCCCAGGTACGCTCAACGTTTACCCCCAAATCTGACATCTGGAGTCACTCAGGAGTTCATGTTTTGAGGCCACATCATTTCAAAGCTGTGATCACTCACGTACTTCGTATGAATAATCAAAACCGCCTGATTTGACTGTGCTACTTTCTGTTGTTACCAGGCCTTTTAGAGGTCGTATTTTCGATATCAGCTAAGAAGTACACATATATCACTATCTTGAAATGTTTCTCATGACCCAGTATGTCTTTAAAACTTCTCAATCCTTCCACGTTTCATTCCTCCAGGGATCGAATAATGCTCCTGAAGTTGGAACAGGACATCTTGGACTTCATCAGCAATAGCGAGTAAGACATATTCATGAAGATATACTCCGATGTTATCCTCACTGAACACCGTATCACCGAGTTTCAATCAGAGGAGGAGAACTTAATTAGTGAAGACAGCTGCAGTAGCTTAAGATAGGATCAAAAAAAACGTTTTAAATATTCTTCCAAAGAGAAAGCAAGCGAGTGTTTGATGTCACAAAATGGAGACGAGCAGCTGTTTAATTTGCCGCCGCTCTGTAGAGGATAGCCCTGTTTGGATATCACATCACTTTTAATAAGGAGTCTGCGGCTTCACTTTGGCTTTGGTTATCAAATTCTCATTTTTAGTATCTCCTGGAGGTCTGAAATATTGAGTTTGTAGGTGTAGAGTTACAGAGGGCTTTAGGCTGTCCTCCAGTGAACTCAGAAGTGCTTTGAAAAGATTCTCAAAACAAACCTCAGAGCAGATGTATTCTTACAAGGTGAAGGGCTTCTACCAGATTAAACAAGTGTGGCTTTACTCACCTCATTTATTAGTCAATGTATTGAACATGTCAGAAACAAAAACAATAGTAATTATAATCATAATAATTGTAATTATAATAAGTAATGCTGTCAAAATTATCGCGTTAACGGCGGTAATTAATTTTTTGAATTAATTGTGTTAAAATATTTAACGCATTTTAACGCATGTGCAGAATGGCCCGCCCCATACATCCCACCAGTGGCAGCGCTGGGGTAGGCTACAGCCATACCAAGAAATGGCTTAGCCCCACCATGAAAAATGATGTTAAAGTAAGCAAAATAAAGTCCCCCAACTCGCGGGGTAAATCCCACAGACAGCAGTTAGTCAGATTGATTTCAGTAGCCACTTGTCTGGAAATACCGAAGACTAGAAACGGTTTTGAAAACTTTTGTCACGTAGTGATCGTCTTCTCAATAGAACATCTTTGATAATGTCTTCTGGCCAATCAGAATCAAGATAACGGCGTGGTGTTGTTGCAGCAAGTCCCGACGGAGAATACTTTTGCTGTAGTACATCTCTATATACATCGATACAACATTACGTGTTGATAGAAATCAAACTTGTTTTGTATAGGTAGCACAATGAAATGTAATTGGTCCAGTTGCATCGTACATGCTGTGCTAGTGGTGAGCCGTATGCGCTAGCCAGAGGTGAGAACTCGGACAGTTGTGGACTGGTCTATTGAGCGAGTCGTCCATGGTTGTAGTTGCCAATGATAGAGGGGGTTTTAGACTGTAAAGCCTCGTGGTCCACGGGCTCAAGAATAAACTCCCGGGTAGTAGTAAGTTCGCAAGTAGTGAGTGCATAAAGCCCGTACTTATCGTAGTTTTAGGCACGGACCTAAAATCAACACCTCGCATCCCGCTCGCACGCGAAGAGGATTTCCGGAAACATCCTCCCAATTAGTCTCCTAGTGTACGTTGTTCCCTGTGTATATTCACGGATGAATAGAGTGTTCAAGAAAAAGTCCCTTGTGTGATTGTCTCTGTAGCCGACCAGATTGGAGAGATGTTTGGATGTGGGGTGCAAGTAAGAGGTCCTGGGTATTAGAGGAGAATATATTCTTTTTCATCTAGACCTGAAAGTAAGTGTCAGGTTATGCTTTCTAATATAGTACTCTGTATATGACAAGGAGGTCATAGGGTGACTTGTGGCAGAAGTGGCACCTAAAAATGAAACAGTTAAGTCACTCTTCGTTTAATTCAATACACCTGTTGTACTAGTCCGTCTGTTCAAATTCTGAATATCCTTAATCACTGATATGTATTCTCCTTGGAGAAATATTGAATAAGCAGGTGTTGTTCCTTTACGTTCGTTACCTACCTATCGAGTGTTCTGTACCTCTAGTATTAGGCATTCGTCGAACTTGGAAGAGCGCTGGGACGGACATTCCTATCGGGGGCAACCCTATAGGTGTAGTGACAAATATTAATTACCATGACGAGACAGAGAAAGTGACCGAAACGCAATTGGTTTAGTTACGTAAAAAAATAAAACGTATAGCATACAACTGATTCCTCGGAAAGTCTACTTCCTAGGTTTTTGTTGTTTTTTCCATAACAGTATTGGGTACTACTTAATTTTTTGATTTATAGACTATAGTACACTTGTTGTGTTTTGAGAAATTGGTAAACGTAAAGGGACGAAAACATGCGGGGCAGTTATGAGAAGAATAAACACATCAGTACCGGTGTGTTTCAATGGTAGTTATTTTCTCCCCTTAAATTTTTTCTTATTGCGCCAGGAGTTCCACATTTAACCCGTCCCGAAAACCAACCTGCCCGGTCGGGGTGTACCCGTCTTTTAGGAAATTTGTCTTCGAAAGGGAACTCGCTCCCTTTGTTTAGGAGTCTAGTCGGCGAGGAGCAAGGAGTCGGGCGGCTAATTCCGTTCTTGCCAGCTAACTTTGCCCAAAAAAAACGGCGGACGCCAAGCCGAGCACTTTCCTCGACTTACCGCACACTGCCCTTCGTCCCACCCCCCACGTGGATGGACTTTTGTAAACGGCGGAGAACAACTCACGTGAGTACCGTACGCGGAAGTAGGACTCGTGGACTCCTCTTCTCTCCGAAGTCCGGCTGTTTCTCTATGAGGTGGTAAAATTTGTGACTTTAACCAGGAGAGTCGTCTTGGAGTATTTCACTACTTGCCGAAATTTTTTCTTCGAAACACGTTCTGGAATTCCAATGGTCAAATTCTTTCGACATTAGCCAAGGATGAAACGGTTAATTGCCTGTCAAATGAGTAGGACCACGAAACCTCACGAGTTACTCTCAGTCACCGGTACTCTAATTACACCAAAAAATGACGAGTGGAAGATCATGCGCTCATACTTCACCTAGAGACGCCCCCCCTTTCCTTTTCCGCAGTCAATAAAGGGTGCTCTAAGTAGAGTTATGTAAAAATAGTAAACGTAATGAAGAAGGGTGTCGAGACTCACGTAGTTTTATTTTCACACCAACTGCTGCGGCACGGCTGAATCTCCAGATCAGATATGTAAACTGAAATATGCTAAAAAACCGAAGTGTAGTCTCCCCAGATTTTTTGTTTTTTCGTATTTAGGTGTGACCATTACCATCGTTCTCTTAGGAAGACTTTAAACGTTGTACTTTATCTTTTGCTGTGTTTTCTAAACAGGTTGTACCGCGGGGGGGGCTGGGAGAGCTGGGGTAGGGCGGATGTGTGTTGTCAAAGAGGTTGTAGTACACGTTGCTTAGGAAAGAGGACCGAGCGACCATCGACGGAGGAGGGCGAGGGAGGTAGCTAAGACGAGGAGACAGTCGAAAGTTTTGCGTAAGCTAGACCGTTGCTGTGTGGTGTGTGAAGTAGAATTCTGTCGATTAAGTCCCTGCGGGTCTAACAGGGTGAGAATGTTTGTACAGTCATTTTACTTTCACTGCGAACCACGTGTGTGTGTGTGTGTGTGTGTGTAGTGTGTGTGTGTGTGTGTGTGTGTGTGTGTTGAGTGTGTGTGGTTTGTGTGTGTTTGTGTGTGTGTGTGTGTGTGTTGGTGTTTGTGTGGTGTGTGTGGTGTGTGTGTTGTGTGTGTGGTGGTGTGTGTTGTGTGTGTGTGTGTGTTGTATATATATGGTATTTGTGATGGCACAACGTAGCAGGGCTAGTTGTCGACCTCAACTGGAGCATAACTGCTTACATCGCAAAGACTTTTAGCGAGGCGGACAGGTAGGAACTACAACGAGGCCTTTAAAGTACTAGCGCACTCCAGCAGCAAGCTACTCTCACCCCCCCCCCCCGCCGTAGGGTGTCCTCAAAATCACCGTCTGAATTATGGTCCGTCTCTTTACGACTGTCGTTGTATCAATTGTTTGTGTATCCCTAAGAATAAAATTGCGTCGTCATGATTCGTTGGGTTATCACCCGTAGGCAAGGCAAAAGTGAGATTAGTCGTTACCACGTCCTTACTCAGGAATGTTTGGGGTCTTTAATGATAAAATGGTCCGAGGACAGGTGAAGAGGTTCTGCAAAAAAAAGAAATGCAAAAACACTGAATCTTGCGGACTTTATTCCAGACACCAAATTGTTGTTGTGTCGACTTCTCCCACCCAGGTACAAAAGCAATAGTACTTTTAAGTATTCTTTTATGGGGGGTGAACAGCTTACCAGGTTGTCGAAGGTACGGAGGGTATTTTTGATGTCAGACGGATTGTTCACTGTACGATAGGTAGATGGATGATATGATATATCAGAGTGAGGTAGATAGGAGTAGATGCGATAGGTAGGATGGGATGGATGATATTGATAGGTACGGTAGGTAGTGGATAGGTAGGATCGGATAAGGGATATATCGTCGATAGTAGGTAGGTAGATGGATATATTAGAATATTAGTATAGGTAGCATAGGTTAGATGGATAGGTAGAGATGGAATAGATGGATATTGGATAGGTAGGTAAGGAGATGATAAGGTAGGATGGATCAGATGGATATATCGATAGGTAGGTAGGTTAAGATGGGATAGGTAGATGAATGGATGGTATGGATCGGATGGATGGATGGATGGGCGGTGATGGCATGGATGATGGATGATGTCTAGATGATGATGGGATGATATATATGGCCATGATGATGGATGATGGATGATGGATGTGTAGATTAGATTTTTATGTTTTTATTTTATTGTTTTTTAGATAGATAGACTGTAAACGAGTTTATCCGGGGAAGTTAATTTAGTTGACTTTTTACGGCAACGAGATACAGCCTCCCGAGGGATGTGAAGTGGTGGAGTTAATCGTCCTCAGGGTTTCTCTCCGCAGTGTAAGATCACAACCACCAAAATCAACTAGTGGTGACCTAAAGCGTGATCCCAGTGTAACACTAGGTAGCGCGGTTTCATTCCGCCGGGGTGAGCGCACGTCGTCTTTCGGTAGGACACCATCCTGGGAGTACCCCGCCCTTTGAAGGAGAAGACCGAAAGACGTCCCCTGTGGTGTACACCCAAACTTTAAAGTTTATGTAGTTCAAAAGTTCCGAAAGTAACAAGTACACACGTATAACGCATGTCACAGAAATACTGTTACTTTTAGGAATCCAGCTTCCGAGG